TTTTTGTCAAAATTTCCCTTAATTCTAGATGAATACATCATCTGAAATAACAGATCAATGTGAAATTTGTTTAGAAGAATCTAGAAAATTATATCAATGCTGTCAGAGTAAAAAATGTAGTTTATGTGAAAGCTGTTGGTCAAAAATAATTTTATCAGCAATTGAAAAAGGTCAAATAGGTTCATTATTTTCTGGAACTTTAATGTGTCCAAGTTGTCGTCAACCAATTGAACGTAATGAACTTCCACAAGATATTCAACCTCAATTAGATAATATACTTCTAACAATTCCAAAAACAAAAAATCCAAAATTTATTGAAGAATTTAATTATGCATATAAAGATTCTCAACATTTACGTCATTGTATTACAAATGAAAAATTTATTTTTCTATCACAACGTCATTATAATTTACTTGGTAGTTGTATAGATACATATATTCAATCATTAATGAAAAATAATGAATGGAATTATAGAGAATTATGGTTACCTATTAAGGAAGATAATACAGATGATCATCATGATCAAGTTAATATATTTACTTCAAATGATTTTGAAACGAATGAAAATGGATGTTTAATCTTAATTCAAGGTTCTGGTGTTGTACGTCCAGGACAATGGGCACGTTCATGTTGTATTAATGAATCTCTCGATATAGGAAGTATGTTATAAAAATCTCTACTATATATAAATATTTCTAAACATGTCTGTTCTTATTTTTTGTAGCTATGTTTCCTTATATGGCTAAAGCAAAAGAACATAATTTATCTGTGATAATTCTCAATCCAAATCAAACAAGCTATGTAGTTGAAATGAATGTTACTAATGAACAAAAATCTCATGAAGTTAAAGATAATAAAGAAGGTGATATTACTGATGAACAAATATCTACCACCAATGAAAATATAGATAATCAAACAGAAAATCATCCTGATGGAATGCTGATAGATTATTATTTATCTTCACGTCCATTGCCTTCTTCAACAAAAGAAAAAATTCCAAATTTATCAACAAGTCGTGAACATGTTCTATATGTCTACGATAATATTATTTCAAAATCACCAGCAAAAAAATTTTATATTGTTGCACATTCAGCTGGTGGTGATGGTTTAATGTATTTATTACGTAAACGTCAGGATAAAATCCTCTCAACTCTTTCCAAAATCGCTTTTACTGATTCAGTTCATTCTATATTACCATTCGAGCCGAATGAAATCAAAAATTTTCTAAAAACAAATGCAATACATTTCGTTGCCAGTGATAAACCAATGGGAGAATCAATTGATCGTGCATATGATTTTTCACAAGGATCAATCTGCGAAGAAGTATCAGCTGGTCATCCTAAACATGAATATACATCTGGACATTGTGTTGAAGGAGTTTTTAAATTTTTCTTTCCTTCAGATAACAATATATGTACAACAAAATTTTAATAAATAAAAATTGAATATGTATTTTATTTTTCAGATAACTAATGTTTAGCAAGAAATCATCGATACCTGGTAAAAGAAAACTTAATTTTATATTTTATTAAAGATAAATTCGTTTTTATTTTGAAGAACAAGCGAAAGCTCATAGTCGTGAGTTAAGAAAAACTGATCGTGAATTAGTACGTGATCGACATAAACTCGAAGCTGAAGAACAACGAATAGTAATATTACAATATTGAAATTTCCTAAAAGTAAAAACTTTTATTCCAGGTTAATGAAATTCGAAAAAATGCATCGGGTGGAAATAAAAAAGTAACAAAGAAATAAATATCATTTTTTATATTATAATTCATATATTTTATTAGGCAGTAGAAATTTTAGCAAAACAACTTGTTAAAATTCGAAATCAAAAGGCTCAATCCTTTCAAGCATCAGGACAAATTCAAGGTTTAGCAACACAAAATACAATGATGGCATCGAACTTAAAAATGGCAAATGCAATGCAAGTTAGTTTAACAAAAAATTTATTTTATTTTTTACTATCTCAATTAATATTTGCTCTGTCTTAGTCAACAGCGAAAACAATGGCTAAAATGAATAAAGTTATGAATCCAGCTCAGATGGCAAAAGTTACTCAACAATTTGCTCAAGAACATACAAAATTGGGCATAAAAGAAGAAATGAGTATGTATTAACTAGAAATTTCAATTATTCGAATTCAATATTGTTTATTTAAGTGGGAGAAACATTAGATGCAGCATTTGGAGAAGAAGGTGATTCGGAAGAAGAAGATGCTATTGTTAATCAAGTACTTGATGAAATTGGTATTTCAATGAATGAAAAAGTTTGTTTTAAATTTTTTTTATATATTTTTGTTTTTACTAAAACATATCATTATTTAGATGGCTATTGCACCACGTGTCCCTGCCGCTACATCAGGTATGGTATCAAATCGACGACAAACGAATGATGAAGATGCTGAAATCGAACGAATGTTAGCAAATCTCAAATCGTAAATATAAATTCAGTTCTCTCATCTTCAGATAGAAGACAATATAAAATCTCCACAATAACTTATCTAAACTTGTTTTTAAATCTTATTCTTTAATCTTTTTTTTTTCTTTTCTTTTGGACTGCTTTTTTCCGGTTAGCTGATCTATTTGTGTATATAAAAGAATGTTTCTCATTTTTGAAAGTGTTCATATACTACTTATTCATTTAATAAATTTTCATTTACTAATGTATAAATCTATATAAAATGTTAATACAAAAAAAAAATTAATTAAATTTTATATTGTTTTCGTTTTTGTTCTAAACGAAAAGTAGTAAGACTATTAATTAAATCATAGTAACGTTGATCTTTTTGTTTTGCATATGTTTGATTAAATTCTCGTAATTTTTCTACAGCATTTCGTCGTTGATTTGCTTGATGAAATTGAGCAAAATTTTCACGAAATTCAGGACGAAATTTAATAAAGTGATCAATAAAATTACCATAGTTTTCATCTTTTAATGATTCATTCATTAAACGATTATATTCTTTATAATCAATCGATTGTGTCATTGGTACAATAAGACTTGCACTATTAAATGTACATGAACTTTTTGTTGTTGTTGAAGTTGTTGAAAAAGTTTTAAATGTACTTTGTGATGTCGATGGACGACTTTGACTACGAGCAGATTGTGATCGTGATGCTGATGCACTAAGTAATTTTTTTGAAGCTTGTAAAACTTGATAAGTACGTTGTTCAGTTTTTGTTATTGGTTCTGAAAGAGAATTTAATGTAATAAGTGATGGATAACTATTAGTACTAGGATGAGTTGCTGATCCAGTTCGTTCTTTACGTTTTTCATGTCGATCTTTTTCTTTTTTTAAAGCTTCACGAAAATATTTATCATATCGATACCATGTTTCATGTCGTTTTTGAGTTATATGTAGAAATGTTTCCATATGACGATTAACATTCGAACGTATTTTATTTCGATCATGTTCCATAGTTAACATTTGAGTTTTTACAAAGTTTTTTTCCATTTTTCTAACTGTCATTATTGCTTCAGATAAATGTGATGGTGCTGTTTCGGAGAACATTTTTAATGAATAGATAAAAATCCTTGTGTTGGAAATTGTTTTTCAAAAGAAATAAGATGAAATCATAATGAATTTTTATTCAAATTTGAATACTGAAAGGTTTCAATTCTTTTTTTAAAACATAAAGATATTATTTGAAAATTTATTCTTTTTCCAATCATGCTGTTATTGACGACGATACTATCGAGAGAAAGAAGTTGAAATAGGATTGAAGAATAAAGAAAAAAAATTGAAATGTTACAAATGAATCAATAATCTATATTATTGTGTTGAATTTAATTAATGTAACAAATTCTGTCATCAAAATAAGCATTTCATTTTTGTTTTTACACTTGAGATGTACTGTCTGAATAAATCATGTTCTATGCTTTTACAACACCAAGACATTCTACATTACAAGAACGTGTTCATTTAATTGATTCTATCATGTCTTGTTTGTCCATTATTGTTGCAATTAGATATTTTAATGATTGATGTAGTACTATAAGAAACAATACTTCAATAATTCATGCAGTAATCTACGTATATCTTCAGGGCTTTTCATTGCTCTGTCGCTGATAATAATGAGTCATTATATAGACAAACAGAAAAACAACTATTACTATTTAAAATAGAAATGCAGAACAAAATGAATGATAAAGTGTGCGTTGCTGTTGATATTACAAAATTTCATCTGTCGCCAATGATGAAATTACTTGTTGAGAAATATTTCATATGATTCGATTGATGATTGAGCAAGATCATAAATAAGTATATATCATTACTCGATAGGTTCCTCGATCAAACTCTAGTTATAGCATTTAAATACTACGAATGGACGAATAGTTACTTAGAATATACGATAAAATAAGACTTTTTTTTGATGATTTTTAACAGATTCTAAAAGAAAGTATGGGATTCGATTATTTGTAGCTGTCATTCTTTAATGTTCATAAATATTATTTTTTATAATATTGAGTAATTGAAATAAAATATAATTATTCAGTTTTCGTTTTAGAATATCGTCTATTCTCACATTATATTTTTTTCATGGCGACTTCAATGAATCGGTCTTCTGTTGAAGAAACTGATAGTAGTACAAATAAAACACAACAGGGATTTGTTGTTATTAGTTGGAATGTATTACATATGATTCATGAAATTAATTATGTGTATGATGCGAGTCCAGTAATTGAAAAATATTCAGTTAAGGAAAACTGGTCAAATGAAACATT